AGATCCTCAGACGAGGCTATGTCGAAGGGTATAGTCTCGTCTCGGGAAAGAGCTAGCCGACCCCGTTTTATACCGGGTCTACGGGGAATTTTTGGCCGAGCCTAAGGGCTCGGATACCCCACAGTAAGTTCGGCGTTGTGCCACATCTGAACGCGGGTGGGCGCGGTTGGTACATATCCTGTATTTGGATATTCATTTGACTCACTTCTAATAGTTGAATACTGCTATGCGCCGCTGGTGAATTTTATATGTATTGTTCTTGTCCTAAATATTATCGTTCATTACCTACTTTCGTTTGATTATTCTATTCAGTAATCTTCCATAGGTTACAGCAATAGTATACATATTATTCTTTTTAAATTTATTTAAATATGATTTTATATGTGTTGTTATTTTAGTGTTTTTGTTTTATGTTTCTAATATTGTTACGGCCGACGGAAACTAGAGTAAAACGACCTAAGGCGAGTTTTATTTTTCCATATCATATTTAAGAAAAACCGACGTATCTTCGAAAATGTGGCGCAGTTATATTTGGGATTATATTTTGTGTCGAAGCTGTGCATATGGGAGCAAATAGCTACTTTAACTTTTATGTCTTTTACTTCTATTGACTCAGTCTGTCGAAGGAATTGTTGTGTAGGCAGTGAACAGTTTTTAGACTCGTGTAATATTGGATACGCTAGTGCGCGCCATATTACCCATTACCTTCTAATAATCTTCGAGATTAAAGGCGTATGCTGCTTGCATTCCATAATCAAAAATCTCGATGCAAATATTTCTGATGAAAAGCCAGCCAACATTTTGCAAGAATATATAAAAGAGAAAAAGAATCAGAAGATATATATATATATATATATATATATATATATATATATATATATATATATATAAAGAAACATATACAAGATCTGATACTTTTCCTTACATCCAGCCAAATCTGCATTCATATCTTGATATTCTGAGTTTAAGTACAATTGTGTATCTGCTTTTTGTAAGCGGTTGTTTCTATGTAAGGATAAAGAGGAAACAAAAACAGTGACCTTTTATACACCTACGCGTATATCGTTAACCAATATGCATGCGAATTGATATGAGAGGACATCGATTCAAATTTTGGGGGCGCCCACTTTAAAGAAAGTAGCCGACGTTAAGAACCGTTCCTCACTTGGTGAATGGGAGGTGGGATGATTATTACAGGCTGGTAAGCAAAGAAAGGCAATGAAACGATGATTGAATTTTTTTCATGCACTGATTGCAGGGAGTGAAAACATACACGCCTACGCATAGGTAGACCGGTTTAATAAGCAAAAGGATCATTCTCTCTTTTTTTTTTTTATTATAATGACTCTTTTGGAGAAGATCGATTTGGTAAGTGATATAGATAAATTTTTCCCATCTCCAGTGGAAAGGGCTCGAGCCCAGTGAAATACCGGCATTTTTAACGTTGATTTCCTTCACAGACATGCACACTTTTAAGAAGATTAAAGAATTAAATGAAAAACTGTATGGATTATCTGTCGCAATGTTCCCAGGAACGTAGTTTATCTGGCTTAAATGTTAACATTTAAACTGATTTTTAAATTCAGCGCTAACACTGAATACTGGGACTGGGGGAGATATGCACCTACTTCAACCACCAAGGAGACCCAGATTTACAGCTCATTCGAAAGCCCTAGAAAAATTAGACGCAAGGAACGATTTTCGTTTAGCTCAGATTCAGGATTGCCAGAATATGCGAGGTTAAAAATATATATGAATATATTGTACTAGCCATTAACGTCGCTTTCATGGTTCAAGAGGAGTAACTCTTATTGTAATTTTGTATCGAAAATTTCAGCTAGCATAAAATATTAAGTTAACTTAAAAGCCGCCCTATCGGGTGGAATTTAAGCTAGCTTCTGTGGAGGACTCTTGGTTTGGCCATTATCACAATAGCTACGAAGAAGTAAATGCGATAGGAATCAGTGAACTACAGAAGAATTCAAAATTGATCGCTGCATTTAAGCATTGAATCAATGTTTAAGCTTCCCTTTTAAAAGTTCAACGATAATTCTTCTGCTGCCACTTAATTTAAAGACGATTTGATGTATGTAGATCCTTATTTTCAGTACAAACAATTATTTTTATTGAGTAAAACCTATACTATGGAATTTATATGAATAAATCCGAAATTAGAGCTCAGTTCTCTCCCGAATTCTGAGATTGAAAAGCACCAGCTCTACCTTATAGTAATTTGGTATTTACTAGACCCCCCCACCGCAACGAAGTCGCGTTGTGACACAAGGTTGGTTTAATGAGCGCAGACACCCGGTTTAGGAAAAAATTTCCGACGAGTCCCCACTACCGTCGGTTGCGCTGGCCTCGGTGCGTGCACCGATACCTCTCTCTCCTCAATGAGAGGACGCGGCTTCGGGCAAATGTTCCCCAATGCCGGCACCTCTCAGTATAATTTTCCTCAGTTGCGATTCTGTCCTATGACGGAGCCGCCCCTGAGCGCACTCTGCCCAAAGACAGAGACGCAACTGAGAGATGACAAATAATGTATTACAAACCGCTCGAGAGATTTACTTGAACCTCCACTGTGTCAGGTTGTGACACAAGTTCAGTTGCTAACGTGGGGACCCGAGTGACTTCACTATGACCGCTTAGCTGGTCATAGCTTGTCCAAGCTGGTCAGAGCTGGTCTAAGCCGGTTCAAGCTAGTCATATTTGTGATGCTACTAGCGCAGAGACGGATCGCTGTGACTGGTAAGTATCAGAATGTGTATACACTCGAGAGAGGTTTACATACGTCGGCTGCGCTGGCGTCGGTGCGAGCACCGATCTTTCTTCGCGCTGAGAGGGCGTGGCCTCGGGTAGCTGTTCCCCAGGTCTGGTCACCTCAGTATAATTTTCCTCAGTTGCCACTCTGTCCTTTGACAGAGTAGACTCTGAGTGCTCTCTGCCTAAAGACAGAGACGCAACTGAGAGATGATCAGTAATGTGTTACAAACCTCTCAGGAGAGGAATTGACACGCTAAGAGAGGTTTACACACTAAAAATTCAATATCTGTATTATACATTACCTACATCTAGGCAATATTACTCTTCAGGTTTAACTAATTTGCATATTGATTTTTAAAAAGTTTATTTTATTTTGTCTTTCATCACTGTTCTTTTATTCGATGACTGTTTTGATTTTCATAACAAAAATAGTTCTGTTTCGGAACACCGTCTTATATAGTGCAGAAAAGTGTTTGAAATTTGCATTTTACTTGGCCTTCAACAAGTTGGCATCTATTTGTAAAAGTTTCCTTAAATATAACAAGCCAATTTATGAATGATATTAAGTCATGTCTCATTAAATAATTTAGACAAATTTTGTCTACTTATTTTTAATATGATCCTTTCTTATTCATGGTCAAGGTTCTTAGTATCTTTATTAAAGAAAGAAAATTAACATATTGATGCATATTCATTTATTCCGAGAACTTTCGACATTAGCAAAATGTCATCCTCAGGATCTTGTTTTATCAGAGTCTTAACTAAGAAAAATTTGTTGTGTTTATCCAAAAATTTTTTTTTTAATTTTTACAGTAGATAGTATAAAAAAGTTAAAAATTTTATCTAGATTTTAACTAATACCTTTAAATAGATTTTTTTTAATAGGCATCTTAATAATATAGTTTCCTCTCTTGAGGAATACACGAGTATGCTTACATTATAAAATTTAAAAAGGCTTACAGTACATTTAGCGTTTTTACTTCACAAATACAAATTTAATTTTCCGATTAACACAAAAAATTTGTGTTAGATAAAATAAAACCATTTTTCAACTGATGATAGTACTAAGAAGATATATATATATATATATGTATATGTATGTATATATATATATATATGTATGTATATATATATATATATATATATATATATATATATATATATATATATATATATATATATATATATATATACTACAGTTCAAAATTTAGATTTATGGTAAGCCATATTTATGTGTTAAAATGCTCCATATCAGGGACAAAGCGGATGTAAATATAAATGTGTCTTGACCTCAATGTCAACCTATCTTTCTTTCCGTATATATATATATATATATATATATATATATATATATATATATATATATTAAATGAAAAATAATTTTAATATTTTTTATATTTTTTCTATCCATCTCTCACCATCTCTCTTCTCTCTCTCTCTCTCTCTCTCTTTCATTCTTGCCTAAGTATTTTTAAAAAAATATGTATTGAAATTTTTATTTCTTTCTTTAGTTTTTATTATAAAATTTTTTCCTTTTCCTTTTGCTTACTTTTTCCCTCTCCCTTTTCCTTTTGTCTAGGCAAATTGATTTCATTTCTTAAAAAAAAACTTCGGTCTGAAGAGATGAATACTTAAATATATTCATGAAATAAATTATAACCGAAATGGATTTTTAAGGATCGTTTTAATTATTATCATATTGGTCTGTTACTTGCATTGAGCTCTTTGGATTAATGCCGTCCTTGGAATTATCCTTCCAATTACCATTTGGTATTTCACACACACACACACACACACACACACACACACACACACACACACACACACACATATATATATATATATATATATATATATATATGTATGTATATATATATATGAATGTGGATGCTAAGGACAATACGAAGCGGCGACACTATATGTTATGCTTGAACACAATCTTCAGAATATATATATATATATATATATATATATATATATATATATATATATATATATATATAATGTCACATAAACATATCTTACACACTAGTCATTGTTTTGTTATTTGTTATAGTTTATTTTTTCATTTTGAGATGTTCTTTCTACCTTAATCATTCTTACTTTCATATATTTTTTATTTTTCTTTGTTTAGTTTTCTTATTTTTTTTTTCTTTCAATCTTTCTCTATTATTACCTTTTTGAAGTCTTCTTTTTTTACTTTACGCTTGGTTTTTCTTTTTTTTTTTTCTTTTTAGCTTTCTTTTGAAATGTTCTTCCTTTCTTGCTTTCTTTTCAAGCGTCCTTTCTTTCTTGCTTTTTTTAAAAAATTTCCTTCTTTTGAAACTTTTCTTGCTTGCTTTCTTTTCATGCGTTTTTTTTTTCTTGCTTGCTTTTTTGAAATTTTCTTTCCTTCTTTTGAAATGTTCTTTCTTTCTCGTTTTCTTTCTTTTCAAACTTTCTTGTTTCTTTCTTTCTTACTTTTTTAAAACATTTTCTTTTTTTTTAATTTTCTTTCTTTTGAAATATTATTTCTTTCTTTTTTGCTCGATTTCTTTTCAAGTGTTCTTTGTTGCTTGATTTCTTTTGAAATTGTCTTTCATTCTTTTAAAATGTTCTTGTTTTTACTTTCTATCTTCCTTTTCAAGCATTCTTGTTTCTTTCTTACTTGCTTTCTTTTGCAATTTTCTTCTTTTTTTTTCATTTTCCTTTTTTTCTACCCTGTTTTGATTTTTCTTTCTGAACTATTTGTTCTTTTATTTAATTTCACATGTTCCTTTATCTTTTTCTTTCTTTTTTACGTGTTCATTTCTTTCTTTCTTCTTTTCTTTCTTTCTTGCTTATAATTTGAATTCATCTCTCTTTTTTATTTTGTTGTGTTAATTTCTCTTTCTTTCTGCTTTCTTTCTTTATCTTTTCATTTTAAATTGTTCTTTAATTTAATTCTTTTATTTTCTTTGGGATTTTCTACCGGTCTTTCTTTTGTATCATTTTTATTTCCATGTTTATTTATGTAAATCTTCTTATACACTTCCTTTTTTTTTCATAATTTACTTTTGACTGCACAATTTTATTTTCAATATTTCTTCCTTTATTCTTACTTTATTTATTTAAATTTGATTTGCTTAAATCTTTCTTTATTTACCATACGCTTTCCTTTTTTCTTCATTTTTAGTTATTCTTTTTTCTTTCTTTCTTTCCTCAGTCAGTTTCTTCCGAGCGAAAGCAGTGCTTATGACTTACAATTCCAGACAGTACAACAAAAGAATGCCGGACCAAATATTTTATTGCCAGATAACAACTATTTCAGGTAAAAAGTAGAATCATGTCTTTTTTTTAACCGAATCGGAATGTATTTACATTGGCGAGTTGTGAATAACTAGGCCCATCCACCCGATAGCGAACTCGGATATAAATTCAAGCAGCTGATTCCAGTGTTCGATTTCTGAAATCTACCTGGGGTGGGGGAAACAGTTTGCAAATTCTGTTTTAAAAAAATCGAAGAATCAAAGTCCTTTCTAGATTAAACGAAAAGAAACTTAGAAACAAGACATTGGTTTAGTTTAAGTTGAAAAGTAAAGAGCAATAAAAAGAACACACAGAGAGAGAGAGAGAGAGAGAGAGAGAGTTAGAGAGAAAGAGAAAGCGAGAAAGATAGAATTATAGGAAGATATGGATGACGTAAACAAACGAAAGAAGAAAAAAACAAGGAAGAGTGACAGAACGGAAGGAAGGAAAGAGAAAAAGAAAAGTGAATGAAGGAATGTAAGAATTGTACGAATAAGGAACAAGAATATGACGTAATCGCTGAAAAAGCAACTGACTTAAACTGGTAAATATTAAGGGTGCTTTCTTTTACTCCGAAGCCTAAACGAAAATATTAGGGCTTCCAGTGTATGAGAGACCAGAATAAAAATTAAAACGTGTCTCTCCTTTTGTTTTTGTGTTTTTCTCTGCTTGTCATCGCTTGCTTTAATTAAAAATTACTTAAGTGCCAATATTTGACAAAAACAAAAAATGAATAAAAAGTGAAATGCTAAACAAGTTCCGATCGAAACGGAAGTGGGAGGGAAAGGAAACAGGAAAGAGAAAGAGAGTCTCGAGGTGAATCAATTGGGGTTTTCATTGGTTATAAAAAAAAATTGAAAGATAAAAAAATGCCCACGAAGATAGCAAGAATTCACAGATAATTAAGAAGGTTTTTAATAAGTGTTACTTAAAACAGTCGGAAGATAAAGATGAAAAGATTATTTGTCTATTTGCGTGTGAAGGAGAAAGTGGGATAAGAATATTTTATTAATTTGGAATTGAAAAAGAAACTATATTGAGTGATGGTAAATGTGAAGAGATATAAAAATGTAATAATAACTGTATTAAATATTTGTCACTGATAAAAATGTTTATCCGAGTTGGGTTGTATTGAATTATGGCTTCCTGCGGAAATGAAAATGGATCCTCAAAAATATGAAAAAAAAAAGGAAGAAAAAATATTGTTAGATGGAATTGAATGAATGAAAGAAAAAAAGAAAGAAAGAAAGAATAAAATGATCGATGGTAAGAAGAAAGAAAAGAATAAAGTAAAAATAATAATGAGAAAAGATGGAAAAGGACCTAAAATGTAACTAGTAAAAAGAGTGAAGCAAAAACGAAAGAAAAGTAGAAGTTGATAAGGAAAACTGGAAAAATGGAAGGAAGGAAGAAAGTATATGACGGAAAGTAGAAAAATGAAGAAATAAAGAACGAAATGATATAAAGGGAAAAGGAATGAATACAGAAATAACTAAATAAATAAATAAATAAAGAAGGAAAGAAAGAAAGAAGGAGGAAAGAAAGAGGAAAGATAAAATGAAAAGGAAACAAAGTAACAAAAATGAAGAAGGAAAATACATGAATGAATGAAAGAAAGAGAGAAATAGAAAAGGAAAAAGGAAATGAAAAAAAGAACAAGAAGAAAAGTAAAGAAAGAAAGAAAGAATGCAAGAAAGATAGACAGTAGAAAGTGAAAGAAAGAACGGAATTAATTAATGAAGAAGGAAAGAAAAGAAAAAAGGATATGAAATGAAAAAAGAAGAAAAAAGAAGTACGAATGAAAGAAGAAGAAGAAAGGAGAAAAAAGGAAAATGTCGCAATAAGAAAGAAAGATAGAAAAATGGCATAAAGAAATAAATGAAGAAGTTTAGTAAAATAAGAACAAAGATTGTGAATAAAAGGCAATATGAAGGGAGGAAAAGCAATATGAAAGGGCGGAAAGAATAAACGAATTAAAAAAAAAACAAAGAAAGAAAGAAAGAAAGAAAGAAAGAAAGAAAGAAAGAAAGAAAAAAGAATAATGAAAAAGAAAGAAAAGGAAGAAGAAAAAGAAACGCAAGAAAGAAGGAAAGGAAGTACATGAAAGAAAGGTAGAAAAGAAACAAAGCGAAAGAAAGGAAGTAAAATGAATACAGAAAGAAGGGAAGGAAGAAAGAAAGGGATATTAAGAAAGATCGAAAGAAAGAAAGAAAGAATAATAAAAAAGGAAGAAGAAAAAGAAACTGAAGAAAGATGGAAATGAAGTTCATGAAATGAAGGTAGAAAAGTAATGGAAGGAACAAACAAAGCGAAAAAAAGGTAGTAAAATTAAATGAATACAGAAAGAAAGAAAGAAAGAAAGAAAGAAAGAAAGAAAGAAAGAAAGAAAGAGATATTAAGAAAGAAAGAAAGAAAGAGACGAATTAAGAAAAAAATAAAGAAAGAAGAAAAAGAACGAAAGAACGAAAGAAAGAAAGAAAGAAAGAAGAATAAAGAAGCTAGGAAAAGTAAAAGAAAAATATGAATAGAATAAGCAAAGAAGAAAATATTAAAAGAGAAAAGATGATGGAAAGGGGAATATTTCATAGTCTGCATCTTTCCAAAATCATGATATGTCATCTGTATGGATCAGTCGTTTCCACACTACGAGAGAAAACAAACTACACTCTGTGATATCATGCGGTATTGCTATGGAGCCATTGGTTTGTTTTACTAATGCTTATGTGGCTTAAACATACTTGACTCCAGGAATATCATGTGATAATTGCCATTTGTCTCTTTCTTTCCTTCTTTCTTTCTTTCTTTCTTTCTTAATATCTCTTTCTTTCTTTATTCATTTAATTTTACTACCTTTTTTTCGCTTCGTTTGTTTCTTCCATTTAGCAGGAGAGGCGGAGGAACTCCTGCAGCTTTCTGAGTTTGAACACGTACGTCTCTCTCTCTCTCTCACACACACACACACAGTGGTGAGATATGGCAAGTCTCTCGTTACTCTATCGCTACTATCATGGAAAGTGAACTTCATTTCCTGGTTCCAACAGGACTGACCTTCACGGCTAGGACCCGCACTGCCATAATAGCAAATCACCCACATTGGACACAGCTAATTGTTCAGATATTTCTGAACAAGGGTGTTGCTATCCATGACATCCGTATGAGCGTCTTGATCTGACGAGAATATTTGGTCTCTACCAGTTCTATATTGGCCAAGGGACGCTATGCCTGAATGAAGAACTGCCACGACGTGTGGAAGTAGAACGTTAGGCATTCAGCTGCGCTGACCCCACGACTATCCCCAGTCATCGGATTGATGATGATGATGATGATGATGATGATGAGGAGGAGGAGGAGGAGGAGAGGATGATGATGATGATGACATTAACTAAATCTATATTTATTTTATTTATCTATTTACTTGAGTGCCATCAAGTTTTCTCCTGTCTAGAAAAGTGAAAAGTAAGGGCTAATGATCAATTGGAAGAAGACAGAACGCAACAAAGAATCAGAAAAGGGGGCACCCCCTAAGACGCGAAATAGGAATCGGAAATATCACATTTATTGTGGTACAAAAGTACAAATGTTGAAATATCTGGGGGAAATGTGACACCGTAATCCAAAGATGCATCGGAGTAAAAAATGATGGCTTCCAAAAGCTAAACAAATTATTAAAATATAGAAAAACTTCGTTGGGAACTGAGAAAAGTGTACTAAACTATTATATAATATCAATGTTCATCTATGCCAGTCTCCTTTGAGATGAAGTAAAGACATGAGGCAACAGAAATGTGGTTCTACAGAAGGATACTCAGGATTCAAATGGACTGAATATTTGAGTAACAAGGACGTTTTAAGGAAAATGGAAACACAAAAAAACCCTATAATTAGGGTGCTGGACTATTATATAATATCATGTTGGACTATTATATAATATCATGTTGGATTATTATATAATATCATTTTGGACTATTATATAATATCATGTTGGATTATTATATAATATCCTTTTGGACTATTATATAATATCATGTTGGATTATTATATAATATCATACTGGATTGTTATATAATATCGTGCTGGACTATTATATAATATCATTTTGGACTATTATATATTATCATGTTGGACTATTATATAATATCATACTGGATTGTTATATAATATCGTGCTGGACTATTAAATCATATCATTTTGGACTATTATATATTATCATGTTGAACTATTATATAATATCATACTGGATTGTTATATAATATCATGTTGGACTATTATATAATATCATGTTGGACTATTATATATTATCATGTTGGACTATTATATAATATCATATTGGATTTTTATATAATATCGTGCTGGACTGTTATATAATATCATGTTGGACTAATATGCAATATCATGTTGGACTATTATACAATATCGTGCTCGACTATTATATAATATCATGTCGGACTAATATGTAATATGTTGGACTATTGTATAATATCATATTGGATTGTTATATAATATCGTGCTGGACTATTATATAATACCATGTTGGACTATTATATCGTATCTCTAATGTGACAGTGATTGTCGGATAATTTATCACAAATGAAGAAGAGACTTGAGGTAACAGAAATGTGTTTCTAGAGAAGGATGCTGGGAATTTCACGGAGCGAACATGTTTTTAACTTACAAGCTTTAAAGATATGGAAACAATAAGTATGCTTAGATTTAGTATCAGAAAGTTGAAATTTCTATGTAATGAAGAAAAATGGTTTGGAGGATTTGTCAGTGACAAGGCATATTGATTAAACAGAGAGTAACGTAATTTGTGTAAATGGATGTCAGAAAAGGGAGTAAGAGGTATTGTGAAAAGACAAAGCTTATTAAGAGCTACAGAATAGGAAGTTGTGAAGAGCCATGATAAACCACATCCTGCAGGGACCCGGCATATAGTAGAGAAATATTGACGCTTTTATGTGTCTGCGTGTGTATGTGTGTCATTTTGGATCATTTTTGTTTGCGTTTACTGTTTGAAATGAATTGTTTCAGTCAAGGCTGCATACGTCTTCGCTTCCAATTATTCTTCGTACTTGGAATTACGTCATCTTTCAAGGGAAAGCCAAATGCAATGCGATATTCTTGCTATGCGAACTCATATAGGTATGCATATAAGTGAAATGACAGATACAGAGCGACAGAGAGAGGGAAGGAGATGAAGAGAGATAATGAGAGAGAACATTAGAACGAGTGAAAGGGAACCCGAAAAAGGGAGGAATAGCAAAGCAAAATAGAAGAGAAATCCGGTGGGGGGCGGAGAAAACGAAAGAAACAAAATGAAGAGAGAAAAGAGGGATGAAAATAAAAAAGAAAAGAGAATTGAGGATATATATATATATATATATATATGTATATATATATATATATATATATATATATATATATATATATATATATATATATATATATATAGAGATATAGGCATATAATAAAAAGGAGAGACAATAAAAATAGACAGTAAAAAGAAAATATCCAAAGGAAAAAGAAAAAGAAAGCAAAAAATACAATTATGAGAAGAGAAAAAAAAAAAAGACAGAAAATGGACAAATGGAAATGTTTGAGGGAGAATAAAGACAAGAGAAAGAAAATGAAAGAGGAAATAAAAAATAAAAAAAAAGAAAGACTGAAAGAAAAGAAAAAAATAAATGTAGTAAAATCTAAAGAAAGAAAGAAGAAAAGAAAGAAAGAAAAATGAGATAAAAGGAAAGAAAGAAAGGAAGAAAGAAAAAGAGATAAAAAGAAAGAAAGAAAGAAATGGAGAAGGAAAGAAAGGAAGAAGGAAAGAAAGAAAATGAGATAAAAGAAAGAAAGAAAGGAAGGAAGAAAGAAAAAGAGATAAAAAGAAAGAAAGAAAGAAAGGGAGAAGGAAAGAAATGAAGAAGGAAAGAAAGAAAATGAGATAAAAAGAAAGAAAGGAACAAAAAGCTGATAATAAGAAAGAAATAAAGAAATAAAAAGAAAGAAAGAAAGAAAGAAAGAAAAAGGACGTGAAAAATAAGAAAAAAACTGGGAGAAAAAGAAAAGAAATTGAAAGAAAATTGAGGAGAAAGAAAGAGAGAAAAGTGTAAAAAGACTGTGAAAGAAGAACAAGAAATTGGAAGAGACGAAAGACGGCCAAGAAAAAAAAGAAGATATTTTAAAAGGGAAGTAAAGTGAAGGAGAATGAGAGAAAATGAAAGGAAAAAGAGAAAGATAACAGAAAAGAGAAATGTCGATTCAAAAAAAGAAAAAAGAAAGAAAGATTAAAAGAGAGATAGAAAGAGAGCTTACCATGAAGGAAAGAAATGCGATAAATGAGAATATGAGAGAGAGAGCGGCAGGGTGGGGGCGTGTGATATGCAGAAGATCTGTTTTTTTTTTTCAATGTTTGCCAATTTAATTATTAATTGTACTTTTTTTATTGTTTGTTATTTGCGCCTAACAGAGAAAAGGAAACGAAGAGACAAGAGACGCATCAATCCGTAAGAGGTCGCTGCACTTGATATAAACTCTCATTAGAATTAGAATTTAAACAACATTAAAATATTTGACATAGAATTGGTTTGTTTGTTGTTTTTTTTGTTCATGTTGTTGTTTTGTGATTGATTCCCTTTTCCTTCCTTGTTTCTTTCTTTCGTTTATTCATTCATTTTTCTTTCTTCATTTATTCATTCAGTCAGTCTTTTTTTTTCTTTCTTTCTTTCTTTTGTTCGTTCGTTCGTTGATTCTTTCTTTCATTCGTTCTTTCTTTCATTCATTCAATTCATTCATTCATTCAATCCTACTTCCATTCAATCTTTCTTTCTTTTATTCTTTCTTTCATATTTTCTTTCTTATTTTCTTTCTTTCTTTATTTCTTTCTTTCTTTCTTTCTTTCTTTCTGACTTTCTTTTTTTCTTTTCTGTTTCAATATACTCAACTGTTCCATTATTCTTTCTTTGTTGCGTTCTTTTGCTTTGAAATGTTCTTCCTTCCTTTCTACAAATTTCCTATTTGTTCTTCTCTGCTCCCAAATATTCAACAGTTTTCTTCATCCTTTCTTTTTGCTTTTCTTTTTTTTTAATTACGAATGTGTTTTCTTTCTTTGATATTTTAAGGGGTCCCCATTTTTTTATTTTGAAATATTCCTTTTCTTTTCTTTTTTTCTTCCTTTCTTTTTTCTACTTTTCTTTCCTTTCTCATTTCTTTATTTCTTCGTTTCTTTCTTTCTTTGTTTCTTTTTTCTTTCTTTCTTTTTTTCTTTCCTTTCTTTCTTTCTTTTTTCTTTCTTAATATTTCAATTTTTCCTTTCATCTTTTATTCTTTGGAATAATCTTTCTTCCTTGTATATTTTAAGGTGCTCGTTCTTTTTTAGTTGAGATTTTCTTTTTTTTTCTTCCTTTCTTTATTCATTCTTTCTTTATTCATTCTTTCTTTATTCTTTCTTTCTTTATTCATTTATTCTTTCTTTCTTTCTTTATTCATCCTTTCTTTCTTTCTTTCTTTCTTTCTTTATTCTTTCTTTCTTTCTTTATTCTTTCTTTATTCATCCTTTCTTTCTTTCTTTTCTTTCTTTATTCATTTATTCTTTCTTTCTTTATCCATCCTTTCTTTCGTTCTTTCTTTATTCTTTCTTTCTTTATTCATCCCTTCTTTCTTTCTTTCTTTTTCTTTCTTTCTTTCTTTCTTTCTTTATTCTTTCTTTCTTTATTCATTTATTCTTTCTTTCTTTATTCTTTCTTTCTTTCTTTCTTTCTTTATTCTTTCTTTCTTTATTCATTTATTCTTTCTTTCTTTATTCATCCTTTCTTTCTTTCTTTCTTTATTCTTTCTTTCTTTATTCTTTCTTTATTCATCCTTTCTTTCTTTCTTTCTTTCTTTCTTTATTCATTTATTCTTTCTTTCTTTATTCATCCTTTCTTTCTTTCTTTCTTTATTCTTTCTTTCTTTATTCATCCCTTCTTTCTTTCTTTCTTTCTTTATTCATTTATTCTTTCTTTCTTTCTTTCTTTATTCATCCTTTCTTTCTTTCTTTATTCTTTTTGTCTTTCTTTCTTTATTCATTCTTTATTTCTTTATTCTTTCCTTCATTCTTTTTTATTAATATTTTCTTTTTTCTTTTCTTTCTTTATCTCATTATATGGCTGAACATATTTCGCTTCTTTCTTTACCTACTTACTTTCTTTCATTTCTTTTTTTTTTATTTCTCATTTCGAATAACTTCATTTGTATTACTTTGTTTCTCTTTCAAATTTCCTTCTCTATCCCCGTACATCAAAGTCACTTTATATCTTTGTTTTTCTTTCCTAATTTCATTCCTTTTTTTTTTAATATTCATTGTACATGGTATAATGAAAGCAGAGTAAAGTTGCAAAAACGGAAATAAAAATGACGAAGGAGAGAACAGAGAGTAAAGGGGAGGAAAGAAAGAAAGGGAAAACAAAAAAGAAAAGAAAAGAAAATAATAAAAAGAAAGCAAGACCCGTTAAAATGTTTGTGGTGTTACTCAGCATAACCTTGGCGAAACTGGAATTTATTTTCGATTTGTTTTGGTTTTTAGGGCGAGTTTGTTTCCCATTCCCCGGCCCCACACGCTGCACCGCTTTACGATTACGCTATGGCAATTGTTTTCTTTCTATTAATTCTTTATTTTTGTTTCTGTTTTTTTCCCGCGACGAAGATAAAATTTGTTTTTCAGATATTCTATTTTTTGGGAGGTGGGGGGGAGGCGGGGATATTTTTTTTCTTCTTATTTTCGATTCTTTTCAGTTTAAAAAATGTTTAAGTCACTTTTGTTTGATTGTTTTTAATCCCATTGACCTTCTTTTTCGGTCATTCTTTTCTTAAGCCGACATTTACTGCTTCCTTAGATTGCTTCTTTCGTGAAGGAATATAATCGGGGGAAACGGTTTGGCGTGGGACGATGAATTAAGGAGTGGCACAGAAGGTTGGAGAAGAGGAAAAGAGACACAAAAGTCAAAGGGAGAAAGTTAGACAGACAGACATAATTAAATGGTTTTCCTTTAGTTGGCATAACATATTCTAAAACTATGCACCTGGTTTTCAAAGATATGTAGATATAATAATAATAATAATAATAATAATAATAATAATAATAAAACAATCAAAGCCAACCGCCCAGTGCCTTCTTATTGATATGGCAGTCCCTGCTGACTGCAATGTATCTTTGAAGATATTCAAAAAGTTGTCAAGATACAAGGACCTTGAAATAGAAATCTCGAAAATGTGGCATATGGGAACATCAATCCCTGTTGTAGTTGGAGCCCTAGGACTAGTTGGAAAAGATTGCAGTAGACTAATTGAAGGGATTCCTGGAAGTCCATGCCTCAAGGAGATACAAAAAATTGTTCTGACAAGTACAGCCCACATTTTACGAAGGGCTTTATCTATGTAATTTTTTTTTTGTCAGTGGAAAGTGTCATGATGCCATTTCTAACCTTAGGTTCCTGGGCAGGACCCGGAAAGAAATGTGTAAACGCCAGAAATCAAAGAAAATATAAATAATAATAATAATAATAATAATAATATTAAAAAGCAGACGTGGCTCTTGGGGTACTTTTCCAAGGTTATCCATAAACTTGGCTGAGTATTGCTACAAAACTGAGTGAATAGTGGTACTATATCGAGTCTAGTTTGTGTCTTCTTCGTCACCGTGGCCCGTGGTACAGTTGGTAAGACGTTTGCTTTGTATCGATAAAGGTCCTTGTTCTTTTCTCGGTAGTGGATGCGCACTGTTGATGAAACATTCTGGATTCTGTTGAAGATTATTCTGGGCTCGTTGAATTACTATATATGGTTACTCGAAATAACCTAAACGTTTCTTCATGTATGTATACTTCGAGTGGCTATTGGGCCTTGTACTGTGTAAAAAAAATAAAAAAATAAAAAATAAAACTCTCTTCCCAAAATCTGTACAAATTCTTCTGTTATTATTTTCTCTTTGAATTATATGTTATATCGATTTTCGTTGTTGATGTTCTTGAAATTGCTAGAGTTCTTTGTTTCCGATTGAGTAGCGTCAGTATCTGAGGTTCGAAGAATAATGTTACACGAAACTATATTAATCACTTCAGTCTAATGGTATATATTTTTTGCGGGTAATTGAAAAAATGGGGGATATTCCTTAAGATTTAATAGAAGAATATACTTATTAAAATTAAGTTGAATCACAGTGTTAGGTCACGTTTCATCATCAAGCGAAAA